CAGGAAATTTCACAGTACATGTCCAATTGAAACGGTATTATAAAAATTGTGTGTCGCATTATTCAAATATGGAAGTATCTAAAATTTCGTTCCAGTGATTACACAAACTTTGTCAATTCTGATTGGACGTTGGTTATCAGTTAAGCAGCTTGATGTCGAATACTACAGAAGCATACCCCATTCATATAATTTACATCCCTAAGTCTCTTCGAAACTACAAATCTCGTGGTAAAAGGGGACATCGATGGTGCCTTGGCGTCGCGTAATAGGAGACACGGATCCGGGACCTAATCCAAATTTCAAAACCTTCACATTAGCCTTTGAGAGGCGATTCGCGTTCCAGCTCCGTACTCGCCGAGAAACATTTTCATCACATTTTCGTATATTTTGTAAATAACTCCAGATACGTGGCACTTCGTACGCAACGTACGGCATATATCTCCTATTACGACGTATTACAGGTACATACATGTACAGATTTTCGACGAACTGCCGAAGCACACGTCCAATGGTCTCTCTTCGTTTCTCTCTCAGTCCTCGTTCCGCTTCATCTTCTCGTTTATACTCTCCGCCGGTAACGTTTTCCGCCCTCAAAGGACCCGCTCGACGTAGTCAGAGGATTACGATGTACAACTCTACGTCGAGTTAGAATTTAGACACGAAGATGAGTGTGTATACGGGAGTTTATTGAACGAAGCTGTATTAAATTCAGCATCGTTTCTGCCCGACAAGGAGATAAAGGAACTCGAGAAAAGAGGACGGAAGCTGATTACGGTTAGATCAGATCTATAGTTACAACGAATAACGAATATATTTTTACACCAACTTCCTACCTAATACTGTTTCATAGCACATACATATAAACATTGATTACGGAAAGTATTTGAATACTATCTACATTCAATCATTGCTAGTATAATTATACGGAGATTAATTACTAGATAGACACATTGGCTGAGTTAATCAATAGATAACTGCCGCAATACACGCGAAACAGTGTACAAATATTTTTCTCTCCTACGGTATTATAAGCAGCACCGTTCGGGGAGGCTACATCCCTTCGTACGACACGAGGAGAAGAGGAACGCCGCGTCGGTGCTCGATGGAGCGAGAAAAAGATCCCCAGGCACCGATGACACGAAACATTTTCCGCGAGGCTCCCACGGCGGCTACGAGCATTCCGGCTCCGCGACGTAAGATCCTTTTTACACGCGTGGAGACGCTACCCAGGCGCTTTTATGTGAGTTAACGCACCGGCGCTCGTAGATCCATAACGTAACCCCACCGACCCTCGTAAACCGGAATTTATTAACACTTCGAACGACGGGGGAGATTTGCTAAATGGTTTTCAATTTGTACCTTAACGCTTCCAGACCACATGCTCGACAGATTTCGCGGCACCGCGGTTGTGCGGCGTATCGCGTATGTACTACATACGCCCGGCAAGAAACTATATCTCTCTCTCATCTCTCTCTCTCTCTCTCTCTCTCTCTCTCGCACTCCCCCGCGCGATGTGTATTTCATTTCGTATATTTCAGACTTTATACTCGAGCAGTTCTTCTTTATCACAGAAGGCGTCTCGATCGCATCTCGAGGCCGAGAAATTTAAATTCGACGGCTACTTCCGTTTTATTGCCAATCCCTGTAATTGAATGAGAGAGAAAGTAGATCAGCGAACACGTTGTTGGAGGCTCCAGCCGCTTTTTTGCATTGTGCTATACGCTCTCGTATCGCATTTCGTTCTTTAACTATTATTTCGTTCACAATCTCTTCTTTTCAAATATTCGAATAATTTTCGAAGAATCATAAAAAAGTGTTCACGTAAAGATAGTTAAAAATGTTAAAATTCTGAATATCAGAAGGGGCAAGATGTGGTTCGTGAAAACGAGGGAGACCGCGCTACCAAGATATTCGGATGCATCGCACAGGACGGCCGTAATTTCCTGGGTAAGCTTCGACAAATTAAGTTCCGGGCATACGTTACCCTCGCTTTAGTTGTCCGCCACGGTTCGACCCCACCGGCGGCCCACTCCGCCGCCCCTAAAAAGCCAAATCTCGCTGCGAGCCTTACTACCTTCCTTCCACTTTTTCCGACGTCGCGTCGGCGTTGCCCGACCAAATACCACGTACAACCCCGTGTACATCTCCCGGTACATGGATACGGGGTCCGGCCGAGCGTAGGAAGGAGCCTCGGGGAAAGGGTGAAGCTTTGGAAAAACTCCAGAAAAAGGAAGGAAGAGCGCGCGCCGCGCCGGTGTATCGGCGTGGGTGGCTTCCAGGAGGAACTATCCTCCCGGGAGGGACGAGAGGGCCTTCTGTCGGCTCGTCGGGGAAAGCTACTCTCAGCTTGCTGGAAGGCGTGAGTCGCAAAAGCTCCGCCTGCAAGCTTCGTTGGAACACGCCCCGACGGCGTAGCTTTGCCACCCACGCACCGGGCGATCCTGGAAAATAGTCCGAGCAGCCGTGTCACCGGCGAGACTTCGACCGGTAACCCCTCCATGGTTAAACGGGAACCGTAGTCCTTCCATCCGTGATCCATCCCCTGTTTCTCTCTTCTCTGCTCCTCCGCTCATCTCTTTCCACTTTCGACCGTCTCTCTCGCTTTCTCCGCATCCACCGCCGGTCTCCACCCTTCGGGTCTCAACTTCGGTCCGCTTTGCACACAGATTGCATCCGTGGCATCCGCGGATGCAATCATTACCTCGCTACCGGTCCCTCTGGCTCCTCTTACCAGAAAGACGTTCCATGTGTACAAGGCTCGGCTCCATTGGTTTGTGATAGTTCGCGTTTACGTGTGTGCGTGACCGTGTCGTTTCCGATGGGGATGGGTCGCTCGGAAGAGTGCACCGCGGGGGTTGGAGAAGTTTGAGGTAAAGCCTCGTAGATGCTTTATTGGCTTCGCCCGTTGCGATAAGGAGCGCTTAGGTTACCATAGGAAATAGTAATATAGGGGAAAGCGTCGTGAAACTGGATTCGAAATTGACTGAGGAGGAATCCGTGCATTCGTGATTGAATAGAAACTTGTAGGTTGTTCTCCTACCGACACTCAACATTGCATGATTTTTCTGAATATCGTCAAATACGATTTAATGAAAACGAGGCAGCTTATTGTATAATTAATTTTAACGTAAAACTGAATTTTACATCAACCTGATATTAAAACTCTTGTAAGATAAATATCGCAGTGTCTTATGGAGAGATTCAATTCGAAATATAGTTTGGATTAAATATCTCCTTAGCACAAGAATCTAAGCCTTTGCTTCGCCTTGCCTGATTCACTTCCACAATTGGATCCGAGAAGTGTAGAATGTTGTATCGTCGAAACGAAATCTCACGATTTTCCCAATCTGTCACGAGGCATTTCCTTGAAGGATTTTCGGATGGCTTCAGCCTATGCCTGCTCTGGTATAGGAGATACCGTTGTCTTATCATCTCATTTCGAAACCAGCTTCCTTAGAATTAAGATAAAAAGCATGGAAAACAATACAGATTGAGTAGTCTTGTCGTTATTCATACTTCCTGTAATATATGATCGAAATAATTTATACAGTCAATTTTGTATGACCAATAACTTAATAAATTTGATGATAAAATAACAAGATACACTTAGTAGTCATAAAAGTATTGCATTTTATTTCAATATTCATTATAGATTATCGTATTGATACAGTGGGAAAGGGAAGAGTTGACAAGTGAACTGGAATAGCAAGAAAAGAGGAAATAGTAATAAAATCGTATGGTATCGCATAGAACGTTAAATGGCAGATGTCACGTGAATAATGGATTAACTGACGAGCGTTTCCTTAATCCCCGGACTATCGAATTTAATACCGCGCCGCTTTCGGAATCTGGTCGTGATTAAGCCGACCGATCAGATATATACATTTTTTTTTTCACCTCTTTCATGAATCGATACCAATAACTTCGCCGGCAATCTAGGTTAAACGAGTTTTGCTGTTTCATTTAACTGAATATAAAGTATGTATCCACCCGGCGCGGCGGCGGCGCGACGACGAGACGTGCGCATTCAACGCGTCATTTGATAAATGGATCAACTTTAATAAACGAAACCAGGAACAACAATTGGATTTGAACGGTGGAAAAGAAATGCTGCGCGCTCGTGCCACGTTAAAACGGTGATCGTTATTATACACTCGGTTCACCGGAAACCGGGACGGATATGGAACGACATGATAGATGTAATCAATCTCGTTGTGCTGTGTAATTGGTGACAAATATTAAAAAGTTTCCGCGTACGAATGCTTCGAAGCAGACTATAAATATTTTCTATATTTGCATACAATTTCATTAAGGAATCAGTATTGAAATAAAATACTTGGAGAATTTTATTAAACGTTTTATTCTTTCTAGCATAACTGGCAACAATCCAGTCTCACTCTCTATATATAGTATCACTACATATTTACGTCGTTTCTATTCTATCCGAGTGAAACCATACACGTATCATGCATGGTAGAAATTGTGTAGTTGTTCGCGCAGACACAGAAGGCAGAGTTCTAATCGCGAAGGAGAATAAGCAAGCGTGAAGCACTGAAATATCGCGGATGTGTTAGCCACGAACAACGTTATTACTTATTCGTCATCGCTTATTCTCGTTGGAAATTAATTCTCACGAATCGGGTAATCTGAAGCCACTGTCAACACATGGCCTAGGGTATACGTCAGTCCCTTTGATCTAACATCAACTTTGAACGCGGCTGGTCAAACTTTCAGATTTTAATAGAATTTAAGTAGTGTGCTAAATATAATTATAAAATATTGATATGAGAAAGTTGTGGACAGAAACGAACTTGTGCAATATAGCAAAAAATTTCAATATTATGTCATTAGAAACTATTTAAATATTTTTCAAGCGAATGTTTAAAGGACACTTTTAATAAGCATCCAAACGCGATGCTAGTAAATAGGAAAAGCAGGAGCGATTCGATTAAAGAGATGAGAAACGTTTCAGTGTAGAAAACCAAATCAGAGTCGTGGAAACGGGAGGAGGGAAGTGGCACGATCGAAATCCCCGCAAGAGATCTTAATTCTCTGTCTTCCGGCCCCTGGTCTCCGATGCCCGCGGTGCAGTGCAGCGCTTCGCGTACTGTGTTGCAGGTATACGGTGCACCGGTGTACGTGCATCTTATCTCTAGACACACCCCCGACTTGAAGCGTTGCGGCGAAGAGGAGCGGGATACACCGGAAAACTAGCTCCCGGACCAGAAGTGGGAGTCGAACCGCGGAGGGAGGAGGATCGTGAGGGAAAGAAGGAAAGGCTAAGCGCGAGCAGAGATAAGGAGAAGAAGAGATAGCCAGACGATGAAAGGGGTGAATATAGAAGACGAGGGGAGATAGAAAAGATATAAAAATAAACAAAGAAATATAATAAATTTCGAGAAAAATAAATGAATGAGTGGGATAAACTGTTAAAAAAAATGGAAACTGTGTGGATGACGAAAACGAGATTATAGGAGACGGTGGATCGATGGATCATAGGGAAGGAGAGGAAAAATTGGAGAGGGATAGAGTGAGACAAAAAAGAGGAGGATAAGAGAGAAAACAGAGAAACTGGAGGAATTGTACGGATGACGGAGGTAGTTCCACAGGGTTTGAGGGTGAACCATTCGAGTGAGGGACCAGGATGGTCCTCGAAAGTGGGCGATGGTAGCCGACGAGGTGGTGGGGTGACGGCGACGGCGGGTAGGGCGCCGTAGGGGCAGAACCAGCGCCGCGACGCTCAGGCACGCACAGTCGCGGCTCGAACGCCGTCCCATGCGAACGTGTGACTCTCGCGGATCGTGTAATATTTTTCAGCATCGTGTACAGATGTCCACGACCACCGTTCGCTTTCCACTACCGGATTTCAGAAGAACATGATCGAGAATCTTATTAAGAAAATCGCTGGAGATGGATTTCTGTTCAAGATCAATGAGAAACAGCGAGGACCTGTTGGAAACATAACTGAGAACAGTGTTCATTGAACGATCTACGATTTATAATCGTCATATTCAGGATTCCATCTGTTATCGATTGTCGAAAGTGATTTTGTTGATGATATCGAAGCATTTGAATACTGAGAAGCAGCCGATGTGATCGATTGTTTAGAAACAGAAGCTGAAACGTCACATGCTGGCCGAATCGAGATGTCTATAATTTCGGTGATTTTACGATAATTCAACTCAGAAATACACGTAACGTCTTAAAACTTGACAGACCGGAAGACTTTCTTGCAACATCTAGTAAAGAAATTTTTATCAGTGCAAGTATTATTTAATGGTACAGTGCTTGTATATTTGACCAAACTGTGAACTGCTCCTCTAAAAAGACTAGAAATCTCGTATTGATCCAAAGAAGGTGAAATTGTATAGTTTTATACATGTAAACTATTTGGTTTAGTATCACTGGTGTAGAAACTCGTGACCCATGCAGGCGCCAATTTCATCCAGTTTCGACATAGTAGGTAGCGACAAACACGTGTGTGCTAAACCACTCTTCGCGATCTAGTCGTAAGTGTCCGCAATCGTTATTGATCAGGTGATTTAATCAATTCTATCTTCTGATAATATTAATATGACTTATAATTCACTCTTAATGACTAATATCGTGATAAATAAGATCTTCAGCCACCGGTAGTAATCGAAAATACATTTCAATTAGAAAATTGAAATTAAAAAGTGCATTTCATCCATTATCTTACTCGCTTGCTCGAAATATGAATCCATTCGGTTGTGATTCGAGGTTAACGAAGAATTAGCATACGCAAGGTGCATCGGGAGGAAGTGTATCAATTTTAAGACTCATTCATCGTTAAATAATACGTAAGAGCGGACAGAAAATCGGTGAAAATCGTCGAACCGGTAAATGTCAGTGTAAAATTAAAAATGGCGGCGACTTCCGAGCCCCAGGATAATTATTGAGGAACTATACGGGGGAATGGATTTTCAGAGCGCTATGGACACGTTTGTAGAGGCATGGATGGCTGCTAATACGAAGACGGATCAAGTACAGGTAAATGTTACGATTATACATTATCTTGTTTTATTTTCGCACCAGGAGAATACGACAACTGACGATGGTACCCATGAATGACACCGTTGAAAAGTAACCCCTTCTAACATTACACAGCCAATTGGCCACCCTACCTATTTATGCCCCCTTGAGCATTTCAACTTGCCAGACTAATTTCTCGATATCAATTTTCCGTTACAATACATGAATAGAAATAAGATAAATTTTTGAGCCAGGGAAACATCGTTTATAAAATTTAAAAAATGTTATAACAATTACAGTAGTTTAAAAATCATAAGCGACAGCATTTTATTCTAAATTGTTTCAAGTACTTTCAAGTAGAATGTGAAGGTGTAAGGTATTACGTATAAAGTCTCGGTAGGTAGTCTCTAAAATTTCCGGACGTCAACCAGGGCAACGGTATAGGTAGACTGAGAGGGTTGGGAGAGATAATCCTTGGTAAAACCGCGGATCGTATGTGTTGCGTGGATGGGCATACGTACATTTACACGTGTATGTACGGGGGGTCACGGGTTCTGACCACGATACGGATGTGCCCCTGCCTTCTTCCTGTGCTACGACCACGCTCACGTTCTGGCATTCAATGCAATAAGACCGCATCTCCATTGACCAATCGATCTTTCAATCCTCAAAACCTTCTGCTTTTTACATTTATGCCCCAGAACCATCGATCTTCGAATATATGTATCCAGTTTAAAAATTCAGTACCCTTTGGACGTTGCTCTCTATCTTTTGGCAAGTTAGAAATATCAAAACATTTCTTCCACTAACAAGGTACCAAAAACATATTAAGGCCAATTATTATAAAACTTAAGAGTACGACTAGTAACATTTAATTATCTAATAATGCAGTAGTTATTCATCTGGAGCTATGATAACATATTTGAAGGTAGTAAAAAGAAGCAAAGGTCAATATATTCAACATCTTTTCCTTACAAGTACTACTTGTACATTATTAGTACTCTACTCTAAAATTAAATATACGTATTCGTGTGTTCAATTTTTCCTATTTAAATGTCATTCATAATGCGCGTTCCCGACGTCGCTTCATGCACGTCGAGATTAAACGAGACAGGAAACAGAGACAGCTGAAGAGATACTCTTTTCTACATACTTCCTCTCATTTTCTACGTGCGATTCGCAGACCGAGAAAAAACGTGTAAACTTTGTCGCGCTGGTATAAAAGGTATCGAAGATAATCTCGTAATGCAGTTACTGCGGGTACGTCCCCGGGAATCGTGAGATCTCTTCCCGAAGGATCATCGTCCTCTGTCAAGATTACGAACAATACGGTATGCGTTTTTCCTTGGCAAACACACGGACTTTATTCCGACGGGGATTCGGCCAGCATTATATGAGGGTTTGCCGAACGTCGGTCCGTTCCCCTTTTTACAGGTATTTGTAACTGGCGTTTGACTTCCGCTGCTGAAAAAGGGGAAAATCCAGGATGAACGATTTGTATATACCACGCTGTTTAGCTGCGTGTGGAAACATATTTTTTCCTTGATTCGCGCTACGCACCGCGAACAAACAGTTGACGGCATACACAATTTTTAACATATACAGAGACAAATCTCATAACACTTTTAAGTAACAGGAAGAAGCGATGAATAATAGAGATAAAAAATTTACGTACAAAAATTATCGAACCGAGTTACAAGAGAAATCCACTTTAAATTTCGAACGAAGATATATTCGTAGACAGCGTGACGTTTAATGAACTTCGTAATTAAGCGCGGCTGTCTAACGAGCAGCCGGTCGATCCGAAGATAACCGAAACATACAATCGATGTTTCAAAATTCCGCTGACAGAAAGCACACGTTCTGTTGATTGAAAGACACACGTCCTTGCCGTCGTCGTTGCACGCAAGAGTGTACCGTCGACGTCACACCCGCACACGGACGGAGAGAGGTGGCCACGTGTGCACTCGAAAGTGCGTGCATGTACGTCCGAGGATAGGTTTGAGGCACGCATGGTCACGGTATTTGACCACCCCAGCTACCGGAATGATTGTAATCCATCTATCCGGCCGCCGAAGCCGATACATCAAATGCATGGTAGAAAACTTTCCTCGGCCCTTTTCCTGCCTGCCCAGATCCTTCATTCCCTTATCGGGTTATCTACGCAGCACGCAATGAACATATATTATTACAAACAGTAGTGTTGATATACGTATTATACATCAATTTTCTATTAACAAAATCGTAATTAAGATCGTACGGATGTTCTTCGCCTAAATTATAAAACTATTTCGATGTTTTTCTTTTAGAGATGATTAGGAGGAGGTAGACATCTGGTAACGGATTGATCAATTTACGTAACGTAACCATGGGAGCATCAATCCGTGGATTATCTATTCGCGGGAAGAGGTCCAATTATTGTATATGGTTATCGGGCTTCTGATATTTCGATAAGCCTGATTAGGATGCTGCACGATTAACGTGAACCGCGGAGACATTTAATACCATTCTCTATCGATATCCGATAAAAACAGATATTACATCTGTCGATGTTATTCAATCGATAATCTGTCGATTGGGAAGCAAATACAAAAAATAGGCATAATTATTTTCAATCAGATTTCAACTTTTGTAAATTTGTTTACAATCAATTAATCCATACCAGTTTCGATCTGTAGTAGCGATGGGTCATAATTATTGAATATTTCCAATGTGAAAAACCAGTTTTTACCGCGTGTTATCGACTCATGAACTGGTTCTTTCGTTAATAAATATCGAAACATTACGTCCGTAAGAGGAAACGAAATATGTACACAGTTCGAGAATTATACATTTATTTCGTTAGACGTCAGATACACAAAGTATGCAAAGGAACTTTGTATGATTAATTAATAGCCAAAACATTTTTACATATTTCTCTAGGATTTAGCTTCATTAATATTTTTGACAGGAATTAGGCTACACTAGAAATGAGAAAGCAATAAATTGTTTTACGTTCTCAATAATTTCATGCATTCACTTTGTATATTAACAGCGAAATTCGTCGCGAAATTTTCTGTAGGAACGTCTGTCAATTTAGAAGTTCGTTAAAGCTGACGTAAGGGGATACTCCGAGCTGGACCTATGTTCAATTGCCAAATATCGTAGGCCGGCTGTTTCTAGTTGGAAGTTGCGTAAGCTCGTTAAAAGACGGGACTCGGTAACCGTCCGCAAATAAATTCACGGAATTCCTGGTCAGTCCCTTGTCCCAGCTCGCTTGAACCGAAGGCAGAAATTTTACATCGGACGACGATTAAGGTTATCGTCTTAACGGGAAACACCCAGCAGTGCAGGAAACGACGCGTATCTTTGTAACACCCGGTAGATAAGCTGATCCGCCGATAAACGATGTCGAACCGTTGTTTGCGATGCTGGTATTAATTCATGATGATGTTGCGTTTTGCATAAAGCAACCGAATTCGTCAATTTTTTTCTCTCATTTAATAGCCTCCCTTTGTGCTAATATAGATAGTTCTGGTTCTCTTTTTAATAATAAGACACGCTTCGAATTCGTTTCGTTTAACCTAGAGCCTTTTTTTAATTTATTTAGGACACTATGGGTTATTAGAATTTATGCAAATGTATATAAAAAAAAATAGATAATAAATCTTGTTAAAATCAGTGGAGTGAAAATACTTAAAATGGACGGATTGGCTGAAGCCGAAAATATTCGTCGCGTCGATTCAACAGTTGTCGGAAATTCCGTGGAGCAGGAACCCGTGTGCACCTTTTGCACGACGAACGGTGCATCCCCTTTCGCGTCACGTCGAAGTTACCGCGATATCACTTGGGGCGTTAGCCGGATAAGCCGCTAACCCCATCCACCTGTTGCCTTTTCTTATGCGTTCCCGCTTACAGAGCCCGCGTTCATCCTCATTCCTTGCGTGGAAACGAGCCAAGGAGCCCCTTGGTCGTCCTTGTCCAATCCGTGCTCACCTCCGGACTTTGCCTTACTCCCTCGTCCGCCACTTTATACAGGCCGGTGTCAGGCCTTTGCTCCTTTCCTCTCTTCGCCACCTCGACGGTGTCCTCGTCGGTGGCTCTCTTCTTCTCCTCTACCGTCCTCCTCCCTCTCGTCCACCCTTCGTGACGCCTTCTTATTCTTTCCCTTTCTCATCGAACCTCCTTTCCCTCTCTTATTCCCTCTTTTAATCTTCCTCTCTTACCTCGTCCTATTCTATCCACCTCGTTGCATCTCGTTTCCGCTTCCAAGCCCGGGTCTTCAGCGGTCTGACGTGTTTTTTGCGAGTGCATACCTCGAAGCAGCTCCCGAAACAGTAGCTGGTACCCCGGTACAGTCCGGGCCAGTGAAAAAATCGCGCAACGACCTGAACTCGGCCTTCTCGGTGCCTATCGCAGGATCAATCGCGATTATCGAATATTTCTTCAACGATTTTTCGACGTCAATCGATGCCCCAGCAAGATAGAGAAGTTTTCGTTCAGAATTACATGACAGAAGTGTACATGAAATCAGGGGAAAAAAACCAAATTGAGGTAGTCTTTGCTCGTGTACGCTGAAAATCTCATACATGTTTATTCACTTATACGCTTTGTTTATCGTTCCCAGGTATATGTAGTATTCGGGTAAATCCATTCTCAATAAGACACGTTGAATGGTGTCGAGAAAGACACGATTTAAGGCTACTGACCAAACTTTATCTTAGATTTTCGTTCGGTTAATCTAATCTTAAATGAGATCTGTTCATTTGGAAGAAGTAAAAGTTTATCCGTAATGGACTAACAAAATAAGCATATCGTAGTAGTCTTTATCGGCACTGATCAATGAAGTGTATCAGGTTAGCTACTTAAATTCTGAAGAGAATACTGAGTACTTAACAGCGAATATCATGAATCCATTAAAAACGTCTCCAAATTTAATAGATAATGTTCAAAGTTCACATATTCTTATACCTCCCTCTTAAGCTACATACGTCAATCTCCATATAAAATGAAATAGTTTTTAAAATTAATGAAGTGTAAATAAGAATAATCCAATGTAATTTTATTTTGTACACCTGACGCAATAAATACGTAGACAGATTTACATTTTTAAAACTAATTTATCTAATCAGGTCCAATCATTCTCCTTGATGCAACCAAAGTATTCTACATATATTTCCATAAAACTTCTATTCGAACCATTTATGGTTCATTGATGAATGAACGGCACATGCGGATTGAAAATAAAAAGCGTCGCGATAACGGGTATAAAGTATAAAGGGGTTAAACGATTTCTTCTTGGACGATTCGGTCACGCAGTTCCTCGGAAGCGTCATCGACGATCCAGTTTTCAGAGAACGAAAACCGGCGGCGGCGCGCGGTGCATTTCGCACTTCGGCCGTAGAGTAGTGTAGGATTGTCGCATTCTGGGTCCAGTTAACCCTCGTTGACACCGTGAACGGCTTAGCCGTTAGTGTTAAGTTCAGTTCACTCATACATAAATCTAAGTCCGCGCTTATGCTTTAGCGAGTACGTTGTCGGAATTGAGCACGTGTTCAGATTTCATCGGCGACAACGCTTAGATCATCCGGCTCGTTCGATACCAAGACCGAACAGTAGCCGCGGATTCGACTCGTCTAAGTACTTAACTTACGTCGTGCGTACGTCTTGACGCTGGCAGGGCTCTCCTCGTCTCATCGAAATAAATGACGAAATTATTACGTTGCTCTCCTTACGTCTATTATTAAACCGCACAATTAATTCACCGCTTTCACTCCGTTTACTTTATCCGTCGTTACACGTACTTCACGTACAGTTATTTCAGGAGTCGCGAACGATCATTTGAATTTATTAGTTGGCTGATACGAACGTTACGTTCCGTATGAATCTCGAGGTTGACTGTCTCCCTTCTTGTTAATTGTAACGTGCAGGCAAAGTGCCTCCAGTTCTCAATGCGTTAGGTACCACGAGTGATTCCTTAAGATTTTTTGAGGCTTTTACTTTTATCACGAAATTAAAATAAACAAAAGATATTCGAAGGACATTAACAACAGCTATCCATTTCGACGTTTTTATGCGCGAGTTTACTTATTTAGATGTAGTTTCCTTAGCATACTTTGATCGATGACAGTAATGAATAATTAATTTGACACCAAAAAAATCTGTTCTTGTTTTATAGAGCCAGGCTTTGGCATTGACACACAAGGCCTCTCCACCTTCGAGGCCGAGCAGCGTGTCCTCGTTACCAAGGAGTCCCCAGTCTCATCAGTCCCAACAGTCTCAGCCGCAGAACGCTGCTCAACCACCACCGGTGCATCCTCATCAATCGCAGACACCCCTAAGCGCGCCCCAAACACCGTTCTCTGCGCACAATCAACACCCCAAACAAGAAGCGAGCATAAGCCCGAAACAAGAGGGATTCGATCTCAGCAAATCTACTTCCAGCACCGGTAAGTATTGCCATCTCTTTTCTTTAAATACAGGTCTTCTCGTTCTGCTCATTAGTAAATATTAGCTCTTAGTATTTTTAAATTACTTTCTATAACAG